ATCTGGGCTTTCCTGCGGGAGCTGTGGGCAGGGGAGAGGGGCCCGGGGCCGGAGGAGGGGTGCGCGTCCCTGCTCCATCTGTCGCTGGGTCTTTTGGTGTCCCATGGAGAGGGTCGGACCCGCGGCTCTGTGGTGACTGCCAGAGCTTTGCCTTTTGAGCCTCTTGGAGGTTATGGTGCTTGATGCCCCTTATTTTTTTTTCTCTCTGCCTTAGCTGCGCACCGGGGTGGGCTGACACCAGGGTAAGGGAGCAACCTCGCCTTTAAAATCCTACTTACTTTCATTCCGCCTCTCTTAAGTAACTTCTAGAACCCAAACTCCAGGACGCACTTTTAGTGCTTTGGAAGATGTCTTTTAAAGGTGCCGTTTCTATTTCTGTTCAAGGATTTCTGTCCTTTGCTTGAAGCCTGTCCTCTGCCAGTAGGAGGTTCACTTCTATATCAAACCTGGTATGTCAGTTGTTCAGCTCACGACTGTACTTAATGCTGTCCGCTCTCTTTACAAATGCGTGTGACTCCCCGGCTCTTGACTACACAAGAACTTTCATCTTGCTCTGAAGACTGAGGCCTCCTTGTGAAAAGTCCTTTTTCCAGTCTCTGCCACCTTCTCCTCTGCCAATACATAGGCATGTTATCTCAATTTCATTTTTACAAAACCGTTGTCACTGTCCTCACCTCCTATCTTTTGTACCAAAGGGCTAACTTTGTTCCAGCCTGTAGTCACACCCTTTATTGTTTACTTTACCTGATGGTAACTTTTTAAATCTGTGAAGATTTTGTCATTATTTAAAACCTTAGTAAAATTGTTGGCATGCATCTTTGAATACTTCTTGGAAAAAATAATTTGAATACATCTGAATTACTTCTGAATACTTTTCTGAGAAAAACATGTTGTTAATAGCAAGATGACTGCATTATGAGCAATTGTACGTTGAGAAGGTTGACACTGATAGCACTATTTTGTGATATATAATGCTGATGTCAACTTATCTGGTGTTTTTATAGTGTAAAGCCTTTTTGATTCTTATTTTTCTGATAGTTAAAAATGTGTTTTCTAACACTGTTGTGATTAGAGTTTTGTGATAATGAGCTGGCACTTATAAAATCACTAAATTTTCTTCCTATGTTATTGTTTATCTTTTAGGGTTTCAAATTATCTCTGGGTTTAATGATCTGTGTTTAACAAGCAGAACAGTTCCCATAAGTGTCATGTAAGTTTTTGAGTGTTCTGAAGACTTAATTGTCTAATTGTGGTATGCTAGTTCTTCTTTTAAACAGACTGTCACTAGAAAATTGTTATTATGAAAGTGGTAGGAAAAAGAAAACAAGATGTGCAGTGGGTGAACTGATGCGCATCACTAGTCCTGATTAAATAATCAGTCAAGAAGTATCAATTTACACTTTCAATTTTAGTTTTGCTTTGTATTTTTATTTTAACAAATATGGTAATCATTATTATATGTTGTTTTTTGACATTCAGTAAAAACCTACACATCACGTTTAATTCTTTTTGCAAGTCATAAGGACGTGGCATACTACATAAGTGCTGGGACTTTATCACTTCTTACCAGAAGCAGAAATAATCCTAAAGATTTAGAAATAATCCTGGTACCTGACTGGAAATTCTGTTTGGAGGGAGGAATTAGAAGCTAACGAGGGCTGTATGTACAAGATTCTGGCAGAGATTAGGGCAGGTGGCTTATAAACCTGAGGCCATGGAAGTAGCCTGGCAAAAAAAATCAGCCTCTCTAGTTCATCCTTATCTCAGTGTTTGGAATTTAATCGTGTTGTAGACAAAAACAGGTGTCATCAACTTGTGAAAGGTGATGACTGGGTGGCAAGCACTGTGCTCATCCTTGTGGCAATATTTGTTTGTATGTATTATTTAATTGGCTTCCTACTGTTTTCATTTCTATACAGTGTCATTTCTTGTTTATGAAAGGAATGTAGTTTCTTATTTACTAATTTTTTTTTTTCCATCCAGAGTGCACCACACCATAAGTTACTGAACATTAACAATATTCAAAACTAGTGTTTTCATGTTTTATTAACATTTGGAAACCTCTTGCCGGGTTTATTCATCATAGTGTCAGGCTTGGCAAATTAAAAGGCAGTAGACTTATTTTTATTAGGGACATTTTAACCCAATTACAAACATATATAGTAACACCTGTAGCTGGTGCATTAACATTTAGAGGATATGTATACCTAAATCAGTATTTAAGGATATATACAGAAAGCTATTTTTGCATTCTTTTTAACAAGATACTTCCAATCCTCTTATTGAATGAATTAGGATTAATCCTATTAATTAGGATTAATCTTTGCTGCTTTACATTTCTGTTCTCTTCTGTTATTGATTCTGCTTTGGTTTTTATGTTCTAAATCCACTTGCTCTTCTGTTCATTCCTTCATCCTGGCCATTCCTTAAATTGTTACTGTCATCTGCTGTAACTGTACCCAATCAACCTATTTCACTCCTGGCTGTTCTGCTGAGCACTGTAATACTGCTGGGATTTCTGTAGGCTACCCTAAAAGCAAACTGTAGCCAATTTCACTTCTGCTGCAGGTGTCAAAGTACAGAAGTAAAGGGGAGGATTAGGAAATGTGTGTATTTGACAGACGGAGTGACAAGACTGTCAAAATTATCCCATGTACTGCATAGGATATGTAAGAAGCATTTGTTTTCTAGTACACTTACTGAAATTTTCTTGATTGTTCATGTCAGTCTTTACTTGGTATTCTGTCATACAAGAGTGGAAATTATTACATGTTTTTAATCTTTATCTTTTCTAGGAAGCAATGGTTTCAGAATGTCATCAGGCATCCAAATAAAACCAAAGACTGCAGTACAGAAGAGCAAGACATCTCCTTTGCCACGTTCTCCAGAACCTGCAACTAAACCAAAGCCTAGTGATAAGTTGAATCCTAAAACTATTGATCCGGTATGTATAGAATCATAGAATGGTTTGGGTTGGGAAGGACCTTAAGATCATAGAATAGTTAGGGTTGGAAAGAGTCATCTAGTTCCAATCCCCCTGCCATGGGCAGGGACATGTCACACTATATCATATTACCCAAGGGTCTGTCCAACCTGGCCTTGGACACTGCCAGGGATAAAGTATAGGTGGTGGGGTTTCTGTTTGTTTTAAACAGTTCTCCTGTCAGAAGAAATTTCATTACTTTATGAGATATGTATAGGACATCCTTTTTCTGGTCATGTTTTGTAAATTTAAGCTAAACTTTTGTTATTAATCATACATTCCCTAATTTCTAAGCATAAATGCCTATGAATAAGTATGTTTATTACTTTTTTTAAAGAACGGGAAAAGGGAGTTTGGTACAGTTGTGGCGTGGATGGTGACTTTTTTATTTTATGTGTACTTTTACCCTGAAATGAGATTTGGAGCTAATTGTTAAAAAGGGGCTGGAGCTCATTTGGTATAGTTATAAATTTTGGCACCTGCTGCTTTACAGGAGCTAATGAATGGAGTCTTGCAATGAAAGCAAGAATCAGGTACCATCTTGATGATCATCAAGAACTCATAAAATCTAGCAAAACAGAGCATTACTTGAAGCTTACGAGTACTGTGAATATATAATACTTTGGGAAGAATGTGGATTCTCAGGAGAAGACTGAGGAAAGGAGTTGTTTATTCATGGAAGATCTGCAAGGAAGGTGTTTAATTTGGAAAGTAGCATTGAATGACCATGCTAACAAATAATATCATAGCTCATATACATAAGAAACATGTAGGTGATAAAAGCCAAGTTTAGGTAGGCTTTCCTCCTATGAAGCTGCTAGTTTCCTTCTCCAGTGAGTCCTTCCTAGATTCTCAGCCAATGTGAACCTTGCTGCTGATTTCCAGTGCCCTTATACCATCTTGACCAACATTTGAAGTTTCTCCCACATCTTTCCACCTTGTACTTTTGTCTCTACTTGTATCAAGATGGAACTGGAGTTCCAAATCTGCCTTCTGCATGTTACCAATATAACAACAATAACAGCATCAGGAAAGTGGGAGGTCCTTAAGCTATTAAGGAGAGAACCTGTAGGACTTCTGAGTTAAGATTTGCAAGAGGAAATAGAAAAATGAGGGTATTCCAGTAGGAGAGCACTGATCCTACATTATTTATTAATTTTCTCACCTTCCTAACCAGATAATTCTGAAAAGCAGTTTTCTGGTAAATGTAGCAAATATGTTTTCCACACCCGTAGCTGCAGGGTTGGGGGTTTTTTATTAGTTTTAAAATCATATGACTAAGTTCCTTTTATTTGTAAACTGGAGTTGTAACATATTCGTAGGAGTTATCAAACATTGTTATTAATAAATAATGCTTTTTTTTTTTATTTTTCTGTTCTCAGTTTGGTACCTATTCTCGACCAACTTCTGCATTTGCTGCTATATATGCTAAAGGTGGCATTCCGTGCAGGTGGGTTGGTTTTGTTTATTACTAAGTATATGATGGTTAGGTATAATTACACAGATTGAAATACATCTATTCATGTTTGAACTTTCAGTTAGGCTGTTTGCTTCCATTAATTTCTGAAAAGATTTCTGGTACTTAATTCTTTTCAGAGCAGAAAGCAATTTTCCATGTCTTTGAAATTGTGTTCTTTTGGTTCTTTTTTTTAATGTTGTGTGTTAATACTGAGGCTGCATTTTTAAAGAATAGGTAGGTATTTGCAGCTTTGGTTTGCAAAAGCTCTTTCATGAAAGAAGTTGATTTCTTCAGGTAATGGTGTTTACTTCTCCCTACTAACAAAGATAATAAAAATGTGTGCCACTTTAGTAAGTGGACATCTTGCAGTCTTTTTTGTCTGAAGTAGTATAACATTATTTCTTGAATGTTCCAGTTCTTTAGTTGTCAGCAATGTCAGATATTAATAAAACTACTAGTTAAGTAATAGTTCGTGGTATTTTAAGTAACTTTTGCCTATTGTATATTTGCCTAGTCAATAAACACTTCAGTGTTTTGTGTGTGGATGAAAAATTACGTAATGAAAATTGAAGTAGTCATTAATGCATGAATACACATGTATAAAATAGCCATTGATACATAGTATTTTTCTGTATCTTAGGAGTAACTGATGAATTCAAATATGATTTTATTTTAGTTTCAGTTGACTTCACTTACCAATTGTTATTTGAGGAAAATGTTTATTGATATTTATCAAAATAAGTGACTTTGCAAGGAGAGCATCTTCTGTGTCGTTATGAGAGGCATCTATAATTTTCGTAATTTTTTTTTCTGATTTCTATGTGATAGGCATTATGTAGGAATTATGTATTATTATATGTTAATCTGTTAAAACTGTACTTTTTATATAGGTTAGTTCATGGATCAGTAAAGCACAGACTGCAATGGGAATGTCTTCCCGAAACTGTTCCCTTTGATCCTCTTCTTGTGACATTGGCAGAGGTAAACTCAATTTTCTTGCAAAGTTAAGGATACATGATTTCCTAATTGCAAACAGGATTTTGTAACAAGCTAAGCAAGCTATCTCAGACTCACCTACTAGGGAAATACAAAAGAAAAACTAATTGTGAGGATCTTGTATGAATGAAGATGGGCAAAAACATTGTCATTTGTAGTTCTTTAGTTAAGAATATTCTGTGAGCAAAGTTGCAATGGCTCCACATGGTGGAGTTAGTGTACTTTATGTTTTGAACTGATGTAATAAAATCTAAACATTATCTTGCTCGTATGTGCAGCTTTTTTATTGTGTTTTTGTTTAAAAGAAGACTCACTGTTAAGCAAACATGTTTTATATTTGCAACAGGGTCTAAGAGAGACAAAACATCCCTATACATTTGTTTCGAAGGAGGGTTTTAAGGAATTACTTATGGTTGAAGGTGCTGCTGAAAAAACAATTCCCTTATTGCCTCGTCTAGTTCCAGTCTTAAAGGCTGCACTGGTATGTCTTACTCTTCATGCAGAGATTTTAATACAGTGTTTTTTTGGGTTTTTTTTATTCTTTTTTGTTGTGCTGGTGAGGACTACATGGAAAATATTACTGTGATAAGTCTATTGCATAGGTTTTTGGCTTCCAACCCAAATCATTCCATAATACTCTGATTTAAAAATTCAAAACCTGCTACAAAGATGAACAGAATATGCCGGTGAGGAAAAGGGAAGAATACAGTTAAAATCTCTGAGATCATATTCTTCATTTTTAAAATGTTTTTTAGTTTTCTACTCCTTCAGAAAATAAAGTGAGGTAAAAGTATTGTCCTCAAAGGTAATCTTTTTTTGATCTTTTTCATATCTTTCAGAGCACTTTTCTGGTTCAGCTACTTGCTGTCCTTTAATCTACCTGTGTTTCAGTTCTGGTTTTATAGAGATCACTGAAAGTTTGAAAATTCTTGTGATCTCAGATCAGAGGTGTAACAGAAGATCAGAATTGTATGTTACGAGTATCTTTCTTTGGTTTAGTTTGGAACACAAGATTAGAAAAATTACTCCTATGTGTTCTTCCCCTTACTATTATTCATCTCATAATTTTCACTGCTGCACTGTTTTGGTATAAAGTCTTTCTCCTATACAAGCAGTCGATGACTTCTAATTAAAAAGAAAATGTTCAGGGTCCAAATGTCAGAGTGGAAAAATAACTTTCAATGAAGGTCAGCATTAGTACAAGAACAAAATAAACTGTTGTGAATCAATTTCTCTGCTAAAGGAAGAGTGAAATAACTAAATCATTAGAGAACTCAGGTATAGAAGAACCTTCCCAAGGGAGTAGTAAGATTGACAGCACCCTAGAAGCAGATAAGAGCCTGAGCATTGCTGGCAGGTGACAGAGCTGTAGTTGGCAGGGGACTAAATTAATTGAGCCAGAGAGTCATTGGCTCCTGTGTTTCTCCAACAAAGGTAATTATTGTTAAGAATTACATAGAAATTACCCTGCATCCATTATATTTGTAACTAAAATGTCATCTCCCAATTTCAACAGCAAGAATTTCACTGACATTTTATGGATACTTTTGTTCTCTACTTTAAAAATACAGGTTTTTAAATGTTACCTGTAGATACTAATAGTCAGTTATATTGTACTTGTATTTCTAAACTTGTGATATTATAGCAAGTAGCAGTTACCCAGTAGTTTTAATTTTTAAAAATAACTTGTACATTTGTCTGAATATTGCTGACGGGATTTTTCTTTCCCCCTCTGGAGGCCCATTCAGATGATGAAGTATTTGTAAGAGGATTGGATGCTTTAGTTCAACTGAGTGCTGCGGTTGGCCCATCTCTTAATCATCATCTTAAGCATCTACTCGCAAATGTAAGTTTTTACTGCTGTAGTAAAATATGATCTGTATTTTTATGGTACTTTTGTTGAGATGTTTACTATAATATCTGCACAGATACAGTGGAACTCAGCAGTTGCATGAAAAACATTACTTCATGTATTCCCCTGTGTAAGTCCATAATTCTTTAATAATGTGTGGTGACTTATAAAGCTCTAGCAAGGTCCAAAAACTGTTATTAACATAAATTAGAGAATAGTGGAAGATAAAATAATAAAAAGATGCAGCTTCAAGCCTGAGGTGAAATAGAGGCTGTGTTTTGAAGGGAAGGTTGAGTTTTGCATTTGAAATGTGAACATTTTAACAGATATCTGGAAGTTCCAATAAATTAACTTAAGCAAATATTCCCACTTCTTTCAGATGGGAATTCTGGACAAGGAAATTTTAACTAAATAAAATTAGAGGGGGATTATGGAAAGTATTTTTATACTGAGTCCTCTTGTAGACATCCTTCCTCTGTCAGACAGGCTTGATATGGTTTCATTTAGCCTGCTTCCAAAGTGTGTTTTTACAGCAAAATAAAAGGACCTTTTAGGCATCCAGTGCAGAAGGGAGAAATTGCAGTAATTTTTTTTAAAATTTCCACTATAATAAATCCTTTTCAGTGCATGTGAAAGATGTGTAAACTTTTCATGTGGACAGCACTTCAAGAATTACTTTTTTTAAGGTTGATACATCTTTAAAATTTGCTTGCTAAAAGAAAAAAAGGAAGTGATTTTTGGCTAACAAACGGCTGAGCTTTCTTTGAATTTAAGTTTCTCATCACTTATCATTTTATTCCTTTTGCCTTCACTGAGATCCGTACTTTGACATCAGTGACAAGCTATAAAGCGGTTCCTTTTCATCTTTGAATTTCCACAGATAAGATGAAATAAAGTGATAAAATAGAATTATATTGACCTCTTTGCAGCTATTGTACTATACTGTGCAACTGTTGTACTATGATGTCGTGCAACTGTTGTACTATATTGTGCAACTAACCTTTTCATTTTCCTTTTCCGATAGCTTTCAAGGAGATTAATGAATAAGAAATTTCGAGAAAAAATTACTGTTGCTTTACAGAAGTTGGAGCAATATGGTGGAAAGGTGAGCTGAGCTGACGACTGTTCTATACTCCTACATTTGAATGCAGCTTTGCCAAAACAACTTCCATCTCTGGCTTTCAGATTTAGAACCGCATTCTGAAAACTGCTTATTTTTACATGTCACAACTATTCATACTGCATAAAAACACAGAATTTTGCACTATGACTATCAGCTGAGCTGTGTTCCAGTCCATAGTGAAACAGTTGTTTTAGTCTGTTGATATATTGAGTGGTAGTAGAAATGACATGAAATCTAGTCTGGGTAATCCATATGCTGACAGTTAGGCTTCATTTGTATTTTCCATTGTTTTAATCTCTGAGCAGGAAATACAGGAGAATGTCTCAGTAAAATATTCCAAGGGATCCATACCCACATAGAAAGCTGCATGGCTGGACTCTTACAGAACAGCACACCAAGCCCCATTCAGGAGACCTCTTTTCTTGTTGAAACCAGCATGCATACGTGTGGTTTCCTACCCATGATATTTGCTTGGAACATTTTATTGTCCTTGGTGTGAAGCTTATACAAACTTTGTGGTTAAATGAGATACTTGCTGCTCTTTCTTAAAAATTCTCAATTTCTCTAGAAAGTTGCTTTTTTTTTTTTTTCCCCCAGGGTTTGAAGTGGTGTGACAAAAGGGTTAGTTGTGTGGGGGAAGATCCAGGGTGCCTAATATAATCCCTTACTCCAGGTTAGGCATTGCAGCACTTAGAAAGTAGATGTTTATGCTGAGTGAAGTGTGTGATCTTCTTGGTCAGACAATAGAGTAGGCTAGATGCCTATGAAGAATGATCCAGGAATTCACCAAATGTCAACTAGTAAATAGCTTCCTTCCCCTTCTGGAACACTGACACCTGACTCAGGCTGGATGCAGGCTATGTGTTCCTTTCTTTTTGTGAGCCTACATATTTTCTCAACAGGATTTACTCTTGCTAAAAGTCTTTTTGCTGTTATTGATGATGCCTGACCATTGCCACTAATAGGTTATTGTTTAGGTCACTTACTGTGGAAATCAGGTACATTCCAGCCCACCCTGGTTAACCCAGAGGCTAGATCTACAATTGCTATAAATTAAAAAAAAAAAAAATAAAAGCTTTAAGTAACAGATGGCAGAATATTCTTCTGCTGAACATTGTTGCCATTTTTTGTCGTGTTGTATGTGTGCTGAAAGAGGGAGAGAAGAAAAAAGAGAGTATTGGCTTGGATATTCACGCAGAAGAGAAAATACTTGCTTTCTTGACCCTATGAACACTTGCATATATTATATTAAAAAGTCATTGGTAAAAAATAGGAATAACCTAAAGAGTAGGGACCATAAATATAGACCTACCAGTTCTAAGCTTGTGTGCCTTAATCAGTAGGCACACAATCAGTAGACACCACTTCATTTTTTTGTGTCTGTGTGTTCTCATGTTCATTTAAGAACAATAGCAGTGTTTGTATTACAGCCCTGAAAAACATCACAACAAATAAAGCAGCATGAGAGTTTTTTATTTAAATGAAGTGAGACAGGAAAAGGAAAATTACATCTCATCTTGATGTTCTGAAAATTAGCTCTAGATAATGTAACTAATACAGACAATCATTGACCTCTAATTCTTCTGTCTGTCCCCTGATTTCTTGTAGTCTTACCGTTTTTGTGAGTATGTCTTTCTGTAAGTCTTTTTAAAAAATACTGTAATAAGATAAAACATAAACTGGAAACAAACTCCCAAATTGTGATTGCACTCAATATTATACAATACAACTAACGAATCTATAAAATTTCTATTCTACATGTGTTATAATGTATATGTTTCTTACTTTTATTGGAAGGCCTTCCAGAATATTACTTCTCTATTTAAAAATCCTTATTATTTCATGGTTATATTTATGCCCAGTTTTAGGTATAAATTTGCATATCTCTTCTCTTGAATGTTTACTCTCCAGCATTAGTTATCACAGTGGTCCATTTTTTCAGTTTATTATTTTCAGCCTTTTTGACAGTAAATTTCTCAGCAAATATCAACTTTTCAGTTTTTTACAGTTTGATAATAATGAAGATAACTAAGTAAAAGTTGTGAATTATACAATTTATAGAGACTATATTAATACTGTCATATGTAGTGCTAGTGCTTGTTGTTTCAATTTGTTTTATTTTCTCAACAGGTGACTACGGCTATCATCAAATCTAAAATTCCAACCTATTGTTCTGTCTCCTCTTGAACAAGAAAACTGTAGCAATTTGTACTGTAGGTTTAGTTTGGAAAGAAACTGCCTGTGAATGTCACTGACACTTATTTGGGGTATGATATAATCTGTTAAAATAATCAGAACTCTTCAGTATGATAAAGAGTGGGAAAAGTCTTACCGATTTATGAATATGTAATTATGGAAGACTACTTAAAAACATTCTCTCTGTATTGGCTGCTCTTTGCATATGCATTGTGCTTACAATGACATTGACTAACTGGCTATTATTTCAAAAGCAGAGCAAATATTGCTTCTTATTTTTTTGTAAATTACAATGTCTTTTAATATATCAGCAGTTCTTAATGTTTTGTACATTTGTGTGATGTAAAAAAATTTGGTTGCAATTACTTAAATAGCATCCAGCTTGGTATTATATATGTACGCCCACTTTTCAGACACGTAACTTATTCTGTGCTGCAGGCACAGCTGATGCATTTTGGGTTCATCAGGACTTACTGGGTTAGATGTAGAGCTATGAGACATCATCTGGACTTCTTGAGAGTCAGGTTTTAAAGGCATGAAGTAGAATACACTAAACAGGGAGCATGCCATGCAAAACTGAATTTGCTCAATGCATTCTCAGCACATTGTTTGGAGAAGCTGGAGAGGCTCTGGAGAACACAATGCAGAGGCATCAGATTGCTCCATGGAGCCACAGCCTAGGTTTTGCTCAACCAATTACTTCCAGTTAGCTTTGGGCCTACTGAATGTAAGCAAGATGTATCAGGCAACTTTATTTACATTGCACTCCCTTTGCATTGAGTTCTGTAATGCCACAGATATGCTTAAGACCAGCCTATGAATTCAGCTTCAGACAACCTAACAGGCTTTTGAATGTGGAAGCTATAAAAAACCCCGTGTGTAAGAGACAATAAAAAGATTGCAGAACTCAGCTTACCTGGCTGTCCAGCCTTGTAGGGTGCAGCATTCGTCCATGAACGTATTTGAACTTGATAAGAAAATAATTCCTAAGAAACGGGTCTTGTAATAAATACCTTTCAGGGTTCTCTGTGAGGGAGAGATGACCGAGTAACAAAATGTGCCATAGAACTTTTTTCCCCTGAGGAAAATTCAATTCCAGAATTAAAATTTGGTTTTTTAAAGGGTTTTGGGTTTCTTGTTTTTGTTTGTCATCAGAAGATGCTGTTTCAGGTGGTATTAAAATAGTCTGTTGTATGAACGTATGAAAGCAATTTCAGAATTTTTTTTAAATTAGCACTGCTCGGCTAAATTAAATTTACTTCAGGAGTGTGCTAAGATCAGACTGTGCGAAAGCAAGATCTATGTATTTAGGCCTCTTAAAAAAATTAATCTTGTTGACAAAAATGTTTAATTTGAAGAAATGCAAGTATTTGCTTAACAACTTAAAAAAAATCGATCATGCTGCTCATTTTTCTTCATGTTTATTTAATTTTTTTTAACAAAATGTGCACATTTAGTTTACACAAACACGCTACAGCAGATTTCAGGTGTACGTGTATTGTACTACTCTTATCCTACACTGGTGATAGCAGAGCAGCCTTCAACATGCCTCTAACATCCCATCTCTACACCAGAATAGATACCTGATTTATTTTTCCAAAGAATGCACTTGCAACATTCTTTCTATTTCATTAATCCCCTTTCACATTTTCTGCAGCAATGTCACAATGAAGATTGGCCTCAATCTGATAGCATTTCACCTATTTTGAAGTAAACTCTGTGAACCGTGTATCTTAAAAATTACATGGATGGGGGGCAGTATTATATTTAGGTACATACTTCTATAGAAAAGTCTTTCCAGGTTCAAAATTAAGGTAGCTCCAATCTTAATGAAGTCGTGATCCTAAAGAAATGTATGCATTTATCACACATAGATGATACTGTATAGCTGAAGTTTCCAGTTTTTTCCTGATTCTGTCTCATAATTGAAGATATTACAGAAAGTTGATACAGATGTTAGCCTGTCTAGCAGTCAGCCATTATTAGTAGATGCTACAACATAGTAATATTCATTCTGAGCACTGAGGCGGAAGATGCCAAAGTTCACACCTTTTTCTTTATTAAAGGCAGAAAGACACGTACTCATGAAAACAGTGTTAGGTTTCTTCATGAAAAATTGAAAGTTGGTGGATCCTTAATTTTAAGCAAAGAACTTAACAGACACATCGAAGAAGAATAAGAAATACAGTATGTAGGACTCCTGTCATGATAAATTAAATGCTAAATGTCATGATAAATTACTAGGTAAGTGTGATTGATAGAAGCTTACTTGTATTTGTTAAGGAGTATATCTACCTATAAGCAATGTCTGTCTGTCTTTGTTCTACAGCAGTTCTTCTCAAGTTACCTATTTTGTTAGGTTTGGAGGGTTTTCTTGAAGAGAAAAGCAAGTCAAAGGTGGAAGGCAATAGCAGCATGATGTGCATTGCACATTGATTACAGCACTTTTAACTCAAAGTATTATTCAGAAAATGAGGACTACACCGTAGAAATGTGGAAAAAACCCAAACATGGTAATGCCTCTGTATAAATTAAAACCTAATATTTAAGAAATACACTCAAACACCTGGAGCTTAATCCAATACAGATGAGTAGCAAAACTTAGAATATTTATTTAATCTCCTTGTCTTTTTTATCAATGGGTTGGAATAATAATGTAAGGTCTTATTTTGTTTGGGTTTGGAGTGAAAACCTGACTTTTCAGAACAATTATTAACTAACTAGCCACTGTTGAAGCGCTAAATTGTATAATTTAAAAATTTTTTTGGTGGGAAAAGTTTATAATAAAAAATTTATTTGCATAATACATGTCTCAGTGTAAAGCTGAGTAATTTTATTTATGATAAAGTGGGAAATCCATCTTTTAGATAATTTTGCAGAATAGCTTATATTTGTCTATTAGTTGTAGACCTAGGTCTTCATTAAATCACATTTTCAAAGAGCTGCATGGATCGCATTATGTTCTCATCCTGTAAAAAAAAGAAAACAATAAACCAAAAATCATACACCATTACAAATGTAGTTGGCCAATACCTGCAGTGAAACGGGATAGATCTAACAGTATTTTAGTTAATGCTAACGTTATTTCATAGCTTGTTTGGAGAAATTGTTAGCAGAAAAAGGCCGGCAATGGATTTATGCTTAAATAGGTTTGCGTGTATATTATTTAAACCAAAACTGTTCTGTCAAGAATACAATAGCATGTTAAGATAGTTAAATAAGTCTGCAATATTTTGGAGGTTACGAGTTTATATGCAGTATAATAAAACACCTATAGACAATAAATACTCAAGGAGTAATTGTTGTACCCAAAGTATGAATCTATACATGAAATTTCCAGTCCTGTGTATCGTACACAGGAGCCTTTTTGCAAATCCAGTGCATTCTGTTGCATAGCTAGGGGTGACTAAAATAAAATAGATTTAAATGTGCATCTTTGCATGAACTGAAGAGTCAGTCATTTCCTCCACAACACTCTGACTCCTCAGCTCGGATTTTCTGTGTGTTTACACTGAAAGATGTTGTCTGCTTTCCCATGCTACTTCTGCTTTCTGATTACTTTGCATTAGGTAGGTGATAAACCCTTTGACTCCCAGGTTCTGCATCATGCTTACTGATGCATTACTGTGTACTGCAGTTTTTATCAGTAAATAACTCGGCAAAGCAGTCAGCAAAAAATAAATCTTTTTGTAAGAAAGATTTACCTTTCAGTGTATAGAAGAAACAGTTTACCTGTAGCAGCCCATATTTGGTGGTGCTTTTGGATCAACAGGTGCTAGTATAATAAAAGACATTCAATACAAGAGTGTATTACATACTTATTTACCATTTGCTGGTCTCCACTGTACTGATCCTCTCAATCTGAATGCAAACCCTTTAGTACTTGGAGAGATAATCTAGCCATCTTTAACTCTAGAGAATGAAAAGACTGAATTTCATACACTATTTTAGGAAGTTTCATGAAAGAGGTGCATGAAACCCCCACTTAGAAAAGTTGTCTCATAGCATTCTCCTCTCCTGATAGGTATGTAGGCTGCCTGTACATTAATGTCCCAATAACACATGTTCAGTACCCATTTCTAGATAAATTATTCACTGTTCAGTCTCATGGATGAACTGCTTTGTAGAAAATGTCAAGTCTGAGTAATTTTCTTAATTTATGTTATGAAACATGCACACTGGGGTTTTTCATCATTGATTCTGTATGTCAGCTCGTGATGTTGCTGTAAGAAGTGATCTATGCACTGTTTTGTGCTGATGAACTAACTTATGAAAGCAGTGATATACAATTTAAAAAAAAATAGATTAATGCATAAAAACCTTGTACAGGAAATTTACTATATTATATTGCTGGAAATTAAAATAAACTAACTTTTTTCCCACTATACTGTTTTGAAACATCAATGCGCTATTGAAGATAGCTGATTAATGTAATGTTAAAGTTTGATTTAACTGGAATAATTTGACATTTAATTTTTTACAAATGTTTTTTGGCAACTAACGTTGGCAACTAAGCTCAGCAAATATGCCAAGCAAGCACCGCACTCTAATATAGAAAGTGTTTTAACACTTCCTAACAATTTTATATGTCTGATCATTAATCATAGAATCATATCATCATATCATAGAATGCTTTGGGTTGGAAGGGACCTTAAATGGACAGGCCATTCTTTTATTGCGACCATGAATTAAGAGTCTTGAACTTGCTGTATACTTCAGGCCATACAGTGCTACTGCACTGACAGTTGTACCAAACCAGTAAAAAAATCTCAAGACCCTATCCCAGGAACCTGAAGTGAAGTGTCTGTATTCAGATATGCTCTGCTGTTTTCCTTCTTACTCTTAAAGTAAGCACACCATGCTTCCATAGTGATCACAAAATGCAAGCAAAAGAGATGTACTTCTAAGACCCACTGATCTGGCTTCCAAGTCAAAATAGAAGAATGACAGTTCTCAGAGACTGTCAGCTCTTGCCTGAGATAGATACCATTCAAAGAAAAGGCTCCTGCAGCTTTTCCCTGGCAGAACACGCTTCTAGGCCATTTTAAGATACAGATTGAATGGGATCTGGGCTTTAGTTTGGCTGAGGACTTTTTGTAGTGCTTGTTTCCTGGCACTGTTTTGTCTCTAGTCCCACAGCCTGAGCTAGAACTGGCATGTATATCTGTACACCTTTAGTGTATTTTCACATGCACCAGATGCAGCTCTGTCTGCCATATTAATCAGTGGGCGTTCCCATTCCAAGGTTTGAGGTACAGTCATTTGGTAGGCAAACTGGTAGGGAGGATTTGGAGCAGACTTCTATAGCATCAACCTTAATGCCAAAGGAGGGTTTGCAGGTGAGGAAACCACCATAGCTGTCAAAGCCTGAAGAGCAGCAGGTGTGCTGTGCCACTGTCCTGAACATCCTGATTTTGGTAAGCAAAAGGTAATAGAACTAGCAGTGGTGTAGAGAGAGCGAGCAAAGTGTGATTAAAAGTGTGGACTGGTTTCCCTAGGAGGAAAACTTGAACAAATGTGTACAGCTCAGAAAAGATACTGAATGAAGGGCAATAACCACTATTTTCCATAACATCGGAACATACAGAAAACATAAAAATATTGCATGGTAGGTCTAAAACATAAGCAGATTTACTACAGGAAGGATCACAGGATCATTTGATTTTGCTTTTGGTATTATTAAATGCTTATGAAAGATGAGACACCTTGCTCCTGGGGTGGTGTGACTCACTGCATGCTGAGGCAAGACAGGAGCCTGAATCTTACCTTTTTAGATTGGTCTTGTACCTATTAGGATATTAAAAAGAGGTTTTCCTACATGTGTGTTTTAAACAGAAGCAGCCACTACTGTCCGTTGTGAAAAATGTAACCCTGAAAATGCTGAAGCCACATTAACAACTGAATCAAGTTTCTTGAAGGATTTAGCTTGAATCCTAACCCCAAATCTCATTTCTGAAACCAAATCTTGATACAAGCATGAATTACACACTTTGCAGCTCAGGTGTCTTTACAGAAGAACAGCTCTTGGTAGGTAGACAAAAATTTAGGCAGTGAGATACTTTGGTATCAAAAAACATTGCCACCTTTGAAGCTAAAAGCAAGTGAAGGTGAGGTAAGTGGCACGATGAGAATGGTGTCTCTGTCATGTAGCATTTTAGAGAACATCTCTCTCACATATATTCTGAATACTTGGAAGAGGTAAATAAGAAATCTAACAGATGTAAGAAGCTGTTGAACCACACTGGAAAAGGCGATTAGGCAATTCCTTACTGAAGGTACTAATTTTCTTTGTAAATGATTCACTCAGCCAATCACCATAACTGCTGTCATATCCAGATTAATCTGTCATTTAACTTCCAGAACTTTGCGGACTCTCAGCTGGGAAATGAATCTCTACTCCATTTCTAATGATCACTTCGCTTTAGCAGAGCAAGTGCCTTTCATTCATGTTGAACAAGACTGACAAGCTAGAGCCAGTGCAGTAGAGCACTGCTGACAGACATTACCCAGTACCAATTGCTAAGGGTATAAAGAACAGGCTGTTGCTTTTTTTCATCCCGCAAAATCAGTGGATTAAAATCAAACAAACAGAATCATTTACTAGGCAGCCATGCTCACGAGAGCAACCCCAAGGAATAACTAGAGAGGTGTATAAAAATAGACCAATTCTAGAGCTTCTTTTTTATTTCCTTTTCACCTTTCCTATTACAAATTGTTACAAATCTTATCACTCACTAACTTCATTTATCTTGCTAGTCTTGTCCTCCCCTGTCTTTTGCCTACTACTCTCAGTCTAGGAGGAGGTAAGCAACACACAGAAGCCATATTGCTGGTCTGTGTCAGCTTCATATTAGTCAACCTGGAAAAGGGATCAGTAGGACACTGTAATGATTCCTTATATTTATCACTGTTACAAATACTGTTGGGTTTATTTGCTACATCAATTTTTATAATGTATGATTATCTTATCATTGGATCTAACATGACAATTTACAGTACTTAACAACCTCTTATCACACCAAAGAGTTATCATCATTATTCTGTACTGTATCCTGTTTCTTGCATTTTTTAACTGACAAATTAACAGTAGTTCCTTACATTTCTGAAAATACAACCTATCTTTCCTTATATCTTCTCCTGGTCTGAGAGCAAACTGGTTTCTGAATGGCAGAGGAGTGAAAACAGGCTGCAGTTCCTGCTGCAGAAGTTTATTCTGATTCCTGGCTCTCGAGGCAAGGAGCTGCTTTCAGCAGCTGAAGGAAATTAACAGCCACCTGGGTAGTGTAAACACTTGCAACAGATAATCACAACCAGTTCTCACTCCCTTGCCTTGAGAAAACTTGCCTGCTGTTAACTCCTGCCATCCAACACTTTGTAAGCTCCTTGTACTCTCCCTTTTTAAGGCCTCCAGCAGGTCATGATTCACTGCTGGAGAAAACTATAGCTGATAAATTTTCAAGCAATATTAATATTATTATTATTGCTGTGCCTGTATGCCAGTTGTAAGAGGGATATGTTCCCCAGCATGGGCAGAAGATAAATATTTATCTGAATGCAAAGAAACCTTCTGCTATCAAGTACAAAGAAAGCACTGCTAAAGAGAGCAGGGATGTGGACAGTTTTCCTGTAAACAATGACAGCTTGCATATAACATGTCTTCTAGAGATTCAGGACACAAATTTATTTAGATTGTTCAGTGTTTTTCTGTAATGGTGTACATACATACGCTACCTTGGGAAAATACTGCCTCTGGTTATTAAGATTACCATCAATGTCACTCCAGAAATCTGTGTAGCGCTATGATCCATCTGATAGCATTATCTAACAGGTAAAAGTTCAGTACTTATCACTGGATGCTTACTTTCTGGCAGCTCTCGATGAATTCATCTATGGTAACTACTCCATCTTTGTTTTTGTCCATTTTCTGTTGAGAAAGAATAAGAATGTATGTTTATCCTCCTGAAATCCTGTGTAAAACAAGTCCTTTTTATTACCAATTTTAGCTATATGTCAGCCTAAGGAATAACCAGGCCAAAAGGCAGTAAAGATGTAGTAAGTGACATTGTAGAATAAGCTTAAGGAGCTTATTGTTAAAAAAGCAAGGTGTGATGTGTAGATCTGAGAAGCATGGGACAGAACCACAAAGAATAAGGACTACAAAATTGGTAGGATATACAATGTAACATATCTGCTAACAGAGCCCTTTTTTGGCTCTATGTTACGCAACCCACCTGGAAAAACGTTTCCACGTGTTGTCTAGGTGCATCCTCCTTGAGAATAGGATAGGTGCATTTTCCCATCATATCATATATTGCTTTCATGATATCAAGCATTTCCTGAAGAAAAAACAATATGTCTGTGTAATGTAAGGTGCATCGTAGACACCACTTTAACGCAGAACACGAAAATGATTTTAGGATTTACATTTTAGAATAAAATTTTGAGATTGTGCCTGTTATTTTATATCTGAACAGCTTCAAGAAGGAACTACTATGTTCCTAGAGATTCCAGCATGTTTGTTCAGTTTTCACAGGCACACTTCTACGTATACAACCTCTATTTTCAGTGATTAGTGTAAAAAGTAGGCCTTACCTCTTTAGTTATATATCCATCCTTATTTATATCATACAAATTGAAAGCCCACTTCAGTTTCTCCTGTACTGTCCCTCGAAGTAAAATTGAGAGACCCATAACAAAATCCTAAATAGACAAGAGGTCTTGGTCAGTTTGGGATTGAGCAGTTTTTCACAAACACTCAGGAATCCATAATAATACACGTGTCAGAAGCACGGGCATCTGGAAGAAATGGGTTGTTTCTTTTTATTTTTGCTTCACAGTAGTAAGTCGTAAGGATTGCTGTTTTTTTAAATAATTAACAATCTAAGCGCTGTTTGCCACACTCATAATTAATAAGTAAATTGAGTAATTTTCTATAAAATAAGCTATAATTTTCTGTTAGTGGATTTATCCTCTGAAATGCCTCACATAAGCAGTTCCTGTTGAACTGAATACCAGGGGAAAGCAATTCCCATGGTTTAATGGCCCATAAAATAGCTCAAGTGAAAGTTAGAATAAGCACAGGAGACCAATTTTGGGAGAACTACTGACTAAGGAACATTAAATTCTTGTTAAATCTATATCTTGTTGGAAGTGGCATATGTGGTCCCAGACCTCTTAGATCAATCTGTTTCAGTCAACATCTGAAATTTCATGTATGCTACAATAAACGTCAATACTTAAACCTTTTATTGCAGGTATTATAGGGAGTAATATTTATGATGTGTATGACCTTAATGCTTTTGTGACCTACCAAAGCTCTACTGTTGTAGAGCTATTCCACAGAAATAAATCAGAAGACTTTTGGCATTATATATAGGTTATAGATTTTTGTTTCATAATTAATACTCTTTTGACAGCACAAATGTCATCTACATTTAGTGAGCATCTTCCAGATTGGAGAAAATATCAACTGGGATATGCCATCACCTGTCTTCTGTATTTCTTAGCATGTTAACTTTTTTTGAACAGTGGCTTTTTTTTTTCCTAACCATCTCCTCCCCCTTTTCCATTTGATAAGCTTGTAAACCCATACATCTGTGAAACTGTCCCTGTAAGAGTTTGAGCAGAATATGGAAAGAGTTTATATTTAAATGCACACTTCTACATCATTGATGAAGACATACAAGACATCTTAGAATAACATTAAAGCAGAGACAATAAAAGCTGAAAAATTTATTATCGGCACCAGCGAAGTTTATGCATTTCCTTAAAACAGTAACAATGGAAAAGTCTGCACTGAGGTTGGACACCAGTTACAAAGGTCTGATGTACTACACAGTCAAGTATACCCAATATAGTGACACAGACACAGATATCATGGCCTCTGGTGGTCTAGTAGGCACAGACAGCTCCTTTGACAGCCTCAGGCTTCTTAACAATTCAAGTGTTATGTTCTGGGTTTGCTCAGCCTGTCATTGGTGTATGTGCCCTTTGGGGTAAATGGATACATGAATCTTGAAAGAGTTTTGCTCAGCTTGTCTTGTCTACATCTCAATGACTAATCGAGGGTCACAGGGTTAAATCTCCAAACAGCTCTTTAACAATGTACTATTAAGTATTAAAATGTTCAAGAAATTCAGAACAGATTTGATCACATTACAGCATTAGCAATTAACCTTTTTAATTCAGTACTATGTCTTTGAATCTTTTCTGCACTGTTTCACATTCTTGATGTAGCTTTTCCTGAAGTCCTTAGCAAAGGTCTCCAGTAACTTTATTTCCTTAGAGTATTATAGTTCAGAACTCTGACTTTATTTTTAATTTGGTACCAGCAACATTTTTGCACTTATTCTACCTGAACCATATATATATTTCTTTTCCTTATTATTTCTCTTTTTTCCTTTCTGTGATGCACCACCCATATGTTAGCTGCCTTCCTGGCATCATTTATATCCCCATTTGCAAAGGTGCCCGTCTATCATAGATTTTAAAAAAAATGCGTAAACCCCCTTGATTTTATGCTGTTTTGCATGGCACTGAATGTTCTTATAAAAGTTGAGACAACTCAAAAACCTTCCAGGTGTGTGCTCTAAACTTTGCAAGAGTGGGTCATCTCCTTTCATGTTGCATCAACAACGTTTGAGAATCATATATAGTTCAGTTCAGGAGCATTGACTTTATTTGAGTGTTGTGCAGGAGCCATCTCAGGAACAATAGAAAGGATTTATGATAAAAGCTGGGGTATCTTTTCTATGTACTTACTTTCATGCAATTGAAGAATACAGAAATAAAATCATATAGAAGTAGAAAATCCGATTCAATGGACAAAGGCTAAATCCACAGGGTACTTTGGACTAGATCCTCAAAGAGAAAAATGCTCTACATGGTGGAAGGCAATGTGTATCTCAGGAGCAATATATCTATGCTAGCTGTTAAACTAGTAATCCAGTGCAGAAAGCTGCAGCAAAGCAATGGAGTTGGGGGTAGCAGCTAAGCTCAGAGAGTGCCTGTCGTTATGCTCGTTACCATCAACTCAGTGACACATGAATCAGGCATACTATTTAGCAGGGAGCATGAACCTAAGTCCCAATTACAGTATCAGAGTACACAGATGTGCTTTCCTTCCTGGTTTAGACAACTGATTTCTGGAGAGAGGAATTCTACTTATAGAGCCTACTTATTTTTGAAATAAGATTCACAGTACTTCTTGGACACTTACATGCCCTAAAGATGCCAACACTGTCTACCAAGAGGGGCAGTCCTAGTCAGCTAAGCACCTAATGAGGAGAGGTGCATCTCATCTAGGGTCGCAAAGTTGCTAAAACTCTGGAGAAGGTGTGGGCTGGGACACAACTCTAGGTCAGGTCTCTCTTCACTCTGTGACAGCAAAGTTAGAAACACAGTTTGTGTTTTGGTACTTGCCTTCACTCCGTTCCAAGGCTTCCTGTTTCTAATTTGCTAGCTTTTTGATGAGCATGCTAATACCTGTGAAGACCTCCATTAAATGCCAAACTCTCCTGTGCTTGACTTTGATTCTGCAAGAAAGGGGGATGTCTCACTAAAGGTTTGCACCTGTACTGAAGGCTCTGTGTGGTCAGTATCACAGCCTGCTCAACATTTCAGTTCCGCACTACAACTGTATAAAGTCTCTGGTTGTCACCTGAGATTAACTTGTATTTGTTTGGGTTGTTTTTCCAGAAGTGATTAATTATCTCTTAGAAAGGTTGTTGATGACTTTCTGATTGCTTTATCCAATCTTGGGGAGAACTATTTCATTAATAAATTAATTAACAAGCTTAATAGTATGCTGTCCATACATCCATAGGAAAATTTAAAATTATTTCACCTGATCCTGTGTTCCTTTATATCTTGTTCAATGCTAGGAGAAGTAGGTAGGTAGGCACATAAATCCATTTTTGGATGGAGAGGGATTTTTTACAAGGGCATGAAGGGATAGAACAAGGGGGAACAGCTTGAAGCTGACAGAGAGGAGATTTAGATTAGATATTAGGAAAAAATTCATCACTATGGGGGCGGTGAGACACTGAAACAGGTTGCCCCAAGTGTTCAAGGTAGTGTTCAAGGCCAGGCTGGACAGGGCTTTGAGCAACCTGGTCTAGTGGAAGGTGTTCCTGCCCCTGGCAGTGGTAGTGGAACCAGATGATCTTAAAAGTCCCTTCCAACCCAAACCATTCTATAATTAATGATTCATTAAACTGCTACCCTCATGTTACTGCCTTGCAGACGATGACTGTTTATCACTGTAGTGAAATACCAAAGTTGTGTTTGATCTTAAGATCTGAACTCTTCTATGGAATTGAGTTAACATGTTTGTTAATGTATTAATTAATGCAAAATTCTTAGGTAACAATTGAGGAATAAAGGAATCAGAAAATCACCAGCAAATTTGCTAAGAATTATTAGTCACTTTTTGGAGCAACAAATGTAAGTTTGATTTTGTTTAAAAGTGTCAAAAATCTTCAAACATCTCCATTGCATTTGGGCACAGCTTTGCACTTTAAGGCACTGACAATTAGTGGGATTACTGAGTGACCTTCCTCTCATCAAGATCCCATACAGAATAGCCTTAACCTGCAGCTACAACAAACTAAGAACTGACTTGGATATTTGCATGTAGGTGTAATGTGCTTTACGTTTGAGTATTGAAGTTAATTAACCTCCATTTTCCTGACTCTATAAATAGGCTTGAGGGCCAGATCTTAATTTTGGTTCAGTTATAAAATTTATGCAGCAAGTGGAAACTTTGCTGTCACATCTGTCTCTATCTGATTGGAAAAGTTCACTAATAAGCCAAAAGACCCCTTCAATAGCTGGGTCACCAGGTTATCTGAAAGTTTGTCACTCATGTTAAAGCAAAACTAATTTTGGAAACTAAAGCATAACTAATTTTGGAAATAAATTAGTCTCAATGTATATAATTATGGGATATGGAGATATAGGTTCAAGCAGTTTCATGAGTTTGTTTTTTATGCTACATAAAATGCTTCAGTTGGAGTGCCTGACTCTTATCAGAGCAAATAGAGATTTAGGGATGACAAAACTGTAAGGACATAGCAATCTCAACAAGCAATCTCATCCAATGAAAGTATGTGTTTAAGTTGTCCTAAAGTCTAACACTTCATTGTTGATGATTGAAAATTTGAGGAAAAAAGTGCAAAAAGCTAGAACAAATTCTCCCTTTCTTCTTCCCCACAACTCCAGCTACCACTGCTTCATTAGAAAAACGAGAGTGCAACACCAGAAATGTCATTCTTACCTGCATTCTTTCAGTACCATTTCAGTTTTTCACATCCTTTTTACGCAGAAGACAGCCAAAGAGTGTTTTCCATCATTGGTTATTATATTAAGTTGTATTTACTCCTGCACTTTGATGCAGAAAGTAAATTGGGATGATTATTTATTCCCCAAATTCTTAAATCACTCTCTGTTTCTTTACCTTTTTTGCTGTTTGATTGGCTGTTTGGGATTTTTTGGTATGGGCTTGCAGGTTTTTTTCTAATGGGAATTAGAAAGCTAGAGTGCAGGTTGGTATACAAAGAATATGGCACAGTTGAACCTATAATAAAATGGAGTGGGGAAAAAAATGACGATTGTATTTTTCACATTTCCCAATATCTACTTTCACTTCTTGCAGCTACTTTCACATGATTAGAAAAAAACCTAAACATTTCTAACATAAAGAGGATGCTTTTAGAACAGCTGTCATATAATGTGTAAGCATAATGCTGCAACATGGTACAAGGACACAGAAACGAGTATTTTGACGGCAGTAGAGTCATGCTGGATTCACAATTAATGCAAAAAATAGTAAAGCCTGGATCACTCTGTCTAAGTCAATATTGAACAAAAGTAAGCTGGAAATCTGTTTTGTCAACAACAAAAACCCCACTGCTTCTTTTATTTTCCTGGTTTATTTTATTCCAAAGCCTTTTTTGTACACAGACCTGCACTTTTGACATATTCAAATCCCTTAAAAAGGGCTTCATATTTACTGCATTTCTTAAGGCTTTCTGTCTGAGATACAAATGTCAACAAATTGTTCAGGAAAGATACAAAAGCTTCTTTTGTTCTCATTATTCTTAATGTTAACAGCAGAAATACTTCTCAAATACTGATGCTGAAAATGTTTTCTCTCATTGCCTCTGCTGTTGCTGATTTAACCAGAAGGACTCCTTATGTAGAGAAGATGTGAATAAAACCTCCATTCCTGTTTCTAGTTTCACATGGAGCCCATTGATTCCAGCTGTCTGTGAAAAAGGTAGATGGGGTTCATGTTTTTCTAAATAAATACAAATAACCCCTGACAAAATGATCTGGTTATGGCCCCAGCTGAAGTATAGATTTCCAATTGCAAGGCACCTACCTGCTTGGTGAAGCATTTCCTTCCATATTACATCAATAATAAAGCAATGGAAATGCTTTGAAAAAAAATCTGTCAGACCTCATAACATCGTTCACTCAAATAATAAAAACACATATAGGACATTTGAACAAATTTAAAGGGGATGTATTCATCACAATCCAGTCTCAAGTCCATTATAAACAAAACAAAACAAAGGAAAACAAGACAAAGTGAACATTCCCTTCTGCAAATGAACCAAGAGACTATTTAATTCTATACCTCAAAATAATGGCTCCCTCACATTATTTTGTACATCCTGCTTTCCTCTAAACTATTGCAGTGAGTTGCCTTTTTACCATATGGCCTCGATGACCTCAGCCTTAGCAGGGAAAGGCAGAATTTTGAAAATGTAGGAGGCAGTTCAACGGAGGAAGAATGAATTTCAAACTCTTGTGCTTTTAAATACATTTGCTTTAAAGACTTTTTTTGGTAGAACCTTTTCCTGGAAAATAATAGAGTATGTGAGCAATCCTGTTTTGGCTGAGTCATCCCCATAACATCAGTTGTAGTTAAGAGTCCTTCTCACCTTGCAGAGGCAGGGAGGAAGATAAGGATTATTTTATGTAACTTGTTTATAAATTGGGTTACAGATTTATAAAACTGTTACATAGCAGCACAGTTTAAGGATATTTGAGGGATATACAATTGTAAAATAATAAAGATGACTTTTGTTAATACATCGGAAAAACTCAAAATCTGAGTCCTATACACTAAATTTTTAATAATGTGAGACATATAGTTAAAGCCATGAAGCTGGACTTAATTACAAAGCCTGGCAAAATATTCAATTGCAGAGAAAGAAGTAACAGCATCACTTACCTCAAAACTTACAGACCCATTGTGATCAGTGTCAAATGCATTAAACAGAAAATGTGCATAAGTTGTGGAATCTACAATTTAAAACAGTAAAAATAATTCATCGTAAGCACGTCTTATCTGAACAAAGTCACGCTACTGTAATCTAAAACAACCTGTCTTAATGGCAATGCTACCTTACCGGTTAAATGACTGTGATGGGATCTATATCACGTTAAAAAAGAAAAATGTGTTCATTTGTTCACTTTAAATGGGGGAAGCAGACACTGCCATCTGCGCATCTGGCATATTGTTTTTACTCAGAAGACAGGCCTGTCACCCAGGTTGAAGGTGAGCTTGTCAGAAAGCTGCTGCTGCGCTCGCATCATATGTTTCCCACAGGTGAGATAAAATCCTTTCCAGAGAAGCAGATTCTTAAAGCTGAATTGCTGCTTCATTCCCACAAACATCTTATGAGGGCTACGTACTTAAAAAACCTTGGAAAAACTGGCTGTGACTAAGTGAAGTGGTCAATAAGACTCTGATGATGACCTTAAACAAGTGATATCTTCACTATTTTACTTCACTTTTCAAACCTACTGACCAGTACATACATATTCTTCACTCATTTTAGAAACATAAGACAGCGTGAATATAAATTTGTCAAACCTCTAAAGTTTTCATAGAGATCTAGCTTGCCATTTCCACCGAATGACTTCGAGAGGCACAACCTGCTGCAGGAGGTACACTGCGAACTCCAGACTGCTTTGTTAATATTAGCTGCTGGGGTTATGGGAAGTCAGCTTTCCTGATAGCTTCTGATTGTCACTTTTTGCTGCTCTTCATTGAGATTTGTGAAAAGGCTTTATTATGAAACTAAAAATGCTGTTACTAGTACACAACAGCATGTTACTGATGAGTGAATTATCTGTATTCGATACTTTTCTACCCTGCTAAAAATCTAACTTTTCACTGTATTTTACTAAAGTTAAATGAAGCAAGAAGAAAAAGCTTTTAATTTTTTCCTTTTTATTTTGGAAAGTGTAGCTCCCCTGTTGCAGAGAGAGTAATGGCATTGCTGAAACTGCAGTGAACAGTGTAACCATGCGCCCTAGTAACACAGTATTGCCATTGCTACTTAAGAATCCACAAGCTTTAGAGGGTGTTTGCCCCAGGACAGAGGCTGGTCAGCTTGCAGCCCTGTTTCCTGTGGTTTAGCTGTAACAGCAATCTCTCAAATTGATCAGGTTTCTAAGGCTCATTCATTTTAGTCCCGTGGTGCAACTATAGCTTTACACATGTATCAGTAACAAGCCGTTATTCTATGTATAAGCAGGTACTTATGACTCTAACATAATGATGCTGTGGAGAGAAGAATTTTTTGCCTCATACACCAACAGATGCCTTGAGCAGTGGAGAGATGGGATTTAGCATAGAGGAGAGCAGGTATGTGATGAGAGAGGTCAGGACAAAGACTGGCACTAGGGACCCCACATCTACAAAAAACTTGCTCATGGTCAGTTAATGCAGGTATGGAGATGGACAAAACTGGTTTTAGGGGTAGCAATGAAAAGAAATAGTATATAACAAATGTACAAGTCACCACCTACAATCATACTTGGGTGTAATGTGGAGCTGCAAACCAATGGAGAAATATAAAGGCTTAAAAACTTATTAGCAAGCATGTAGAAATGACCCCAGGTGAAACCTAAGTGAGGAAGAAGAAAGCATCAACATGAACACCCTATTCCTCCTGGGCAAGGACTCCAGATGCCAATAGTCCACTGCAGTTCCCTCATTCTCCTCCACGTGATGCCACTGCCTTAAAGGCCCAGAGGAGCAGTGGAAGGTTGAGCATTACCACCAGGAAAAGGGGTAGGAACTAAGAACTGAGTGTGTATCAACTTTAACCACATTAATATTCTTTCCTTTCTGTAATAATTAGGTCTGGACTGATAAAGAAGACGAGGCTTTTAAGATTACATTTATTCTCACAATACATTTTAGCAAAGATGTGTTTTCTCTTTGCCCATAAACAATTCTGAGTGTTACAATAGGAAAGATATTATTATTATTATTATTATTAAAGTGTAGTAAAGGTGTAGTCACATGCAGAGAATTATTCTGAGTAGCCAGGGTAACAAAAAAATATAATATCTGAAACTGTAATTGTTAGCCCGGTTTAAAAGCTTAGATACAGAAATAATCAGTAGGCAGGTCAACTCTTTTAGCCTTTTGTTCTTCCCTATTGAGTGTGCCTGCTTAGTAAGGACTTCAGTGATGGTAATCCATACCGAATGCTACTCTTTACCTTCTAAGTCTTCATTCAAAATAAAACTAATTGGTACGTGTTTTGTTCCTACCAATTAAGTGTGGGGGTTTTTAAAATACAAATGAAAAGAAAGACCTATGAACAGTCCCAGAGAAACATGCAGATCTCAAGAGCTGTGGGAGAAGATGAAGAGGCAGCACTGAAGAGCTGTAGGAGAATATGGAGTATTGAATGGTAAAAGCAAGAGAGAGGAAAGAGAGGAAAACAATTCAAATTAAAAGAAAATCCAAGGTTCAAGGCAAAAAAAGTGTTATACATTTTTGTATTACCTTCATTGCACTAAAAGGTAATAAAGAGAAAGAAAGTAATGAAACTCACGGAAATTGATTAATTGAAATTAAGGTTAGCAAAAAAAGCCCTCGTATAGGTAGAGAAATCACACAGAAGTCAAAAGGGTTCTGCCATTAGTATAGAGGGTACCTGTAGTGCCTCCTACAGTTTTCATTCCTACTGTGAAAGTTTTTGCGGAATAAAAGAGAATGATGAAGACTGTGTAGAAAGTTTAAAAAGAGGTAACCTACTCAGAGAAACCTGGTTTTCAAAGGTATCCAAACACAGGTAGTAACCTCATAATAGAAGACTGACTTCTTGTAGGCATTGCGTTTCATTCAGAAATATATACTTTAAAATGTGTTCATACATCAAGAAATTATCCCATGAGTTCAGATAGAGCTTGAGACGACAATCTTGTCAATTTGAGCAACATGCTTTTTTGTCAGACTTAGGAACTAACAAACAAAGCTCTTTGTTCACTCTAGTACTAGTTACATGCACTCACCTCCCTGTGGAAAGAACTGAGAGTAAATCTCTTTGAAGGTTT